TTTTTATGTGTAACTTCACGTGCAGACGGATGAAAAATTATATTATTATTTTAATATACTTTATTGATGTTTTGGTTAATTAGTAGCGAGATAAATGCGAATGGTAATTAATTAATAATGCGTCTCTAGCAATGACTGAAAGTAGAATAGAACTACGATTTTAAAACAAAGTTTCGCTTATCGATACTTTAATAAATTACAGAATCATTTATTTGCGCGTTAAAATTCTTTATACATAGTCATGCTTTTTTTTATCACAATATTCTTGAGGGATACAAAAGATATTGTCATTGCCCTAACGCTAATGCTAACTATAACCAAATTAGTTTAATTCATCGTACATTTTTTATGACTAAATACATGATGTAATGAGTCACATTATGACTCAGCTTCAGATATGTACCACAAAGATAGGCTAAAAAATTTTAATTATCGTTGAATATAATTGGCCGATATCTTTTAGTAGATGTTGATAAAATTTTATATTTAATTTCTTAAAAACCTGAATTATAAACCAAAAAAAAATGTTTGTCCGAAATTTTTCAGTTTATCATTCAATTGTTAAGAAACAATTTATTGCTCTGTCGACGAAGAAGTTGTTAGTTAATGGTCGTCAGTCGATACCATGTACTAAGTTTATACAGAGTCGCCACTATGTTAAATCGGGGTCACAAGATAAATTGATAATTTTTGACACAACTTTACGCGACGGTGAGCAGGTAATTAGTCGAGCAAACTGTTAATTAATTTATCAACAATTCCATTATGCTGACGTACTTGAAGTTTATTAATTATGTTATTAAAAAAAACTTTAGTCACCTGGTGTCACCTTGTCGGTGGAAGAGAAGCTTGAAATCGCGCGACGTCTTTCAAATCTTGGAGTTGACGTGATTGAAGCAGGTTTTCCTATTGCCTCCCGGGGTGACTTTGAAGCGGTTTCACGTATTGCAAAGGAAGTTGGCCCTTTGATGCATGGTCGAGAAAAAATCGGCAAGCCTATGGTCAGTAACTAAAGTATTTTATAGGTGTGTGCACAATAATAATTATTTTAGAATCTTATAAAATTAGGTCATCGCTGGTCTTTCACGTGCCACTGAAAAAGACATTAAACGTTGTTATGACGCTGTATCTTCAGCACCGTTGCATCGAATTCATACTTTCCTTGCTACGTCGGATATACATCTTAATCATAAACTAAAGATAGATCGTAATGAATGTATAAGACGTGCTGCTTCAGCAGTTGCATATGCAAAAAGTCTTTGTGATGATGTAGAATTTAGTTCTGAAGACTCTGGAAGAAGTGATAGAGACTTTTTATGCCAGGTCCTGGGTAAAGTTATCGAGGCTGGAGCAACTACCTTAAATATTCCAGATACTGTTGGTTACACTACTCCAGACGAATATGGTGCATTAATTAAATATTTAATTGAAAATACACCTGGAAGTCATAAAGTAATTAATTACTGTCTTTTTTTTTAAAAAAAAATCAAAATATATATTAGTAGTTTTTCATTTTTTTTTTTTTTTTTTTACGAATTTCAGGTAATTTGGTCTACACATTGTCATAATGATTTGGGTCTTGCTACTGCGAATACATTGTCTGGAATTCACAATGGCGCTAGACAGGTCGAAGTGACTGTTAATGGAATTGGCGAACGTGCCGGTAAAGTTAAATAATAATATTAATAAAATGCAGTATAATTTTCAAATTTTCGTGATAGGTAACAACTTATCACGTGATAATATAATAATTCTATATCACCTATACTGCCCGCTCATATCACAAAAACAAAACATAACATTAACTTTAATACTTTTAGGTAATACATCTCTTGAAGAAGTGGTAATGAATATCCATACTCATCCCTCAACATATCCGGTGCATCACACCATAAATACCCAACTTATTTACAGTACATCTACATTAGTTTCATCTCTTTCTGGGATGGTGGTACAACCAAATAAGGCAATTGTTGGTGCTAACGCATTTCTTCATGAATCTGGTATCCATCAGGATGGTGTATTAAAGCATAAACAAACCTACGAGATTATTAGCCCTGAAGACGTGGGTGTCTTCAATGTGAATCTGGTGTTGGGAAAACTTTCAGGGCGCAACGCTTTTCGCTCTCGCCTTGAACAACTTGGCTATTTTAATATGGATGATGCTGATTTTGACAAAGCTTTTGATCGATTTAAGGCTTTGGCAGACACTAAAAAACGCGTCACAGATCATGATCTTTTGGCTTTGATATCTGATCAAGTTTCTTCTGGAAGAGATCCTGAATTATTCAATTTGCAATCAATTCAAGTTGTTTCCGGGACTCATGAGATGGCCACTGCGACAATCAAACTCTTCGATTCTTCCCAAAACAAAGAACTCATGGATGCAGCTATAGGACGAAGTGGTCCTATAATGGCTGTATTTGGTGCAATTCAACGATTGGTGCAACGTAAAATTCGCTTGTTACACTATGAAGTTCGTGCTGTTTCCGAGGGGATGGACGCTTTGGGAAAAGTCGTCGTAAAAATTACTGAGGATATTGATTCTTCAGGCTTCGAAACCGATTCAAATTCGCATAAACATACTATTGATGGTGTAGTTAAACCCATGATTGATTCAAAAGGGGAAACAAAATTATCTAAGAATACATATCATGGCCACGGTACGGATATCGATGTTGTCACGGCAAGCGCAAAGGCTTATGTAAACGCAATCAATAGGATGTTTGCAAGTGAGATTAACGGAGCAAAACAGAGGAGTTCTTTGGAAGATAGAAAGGCAAATATATAACTATCTCTGATACTTCTCTGATCAATTTATTTACCTATGAAAAAACAAAAGGAGAAAAAAAGTCATTTTTGAATAATTTTTCCTATAACACTTTTTAGTATTAAAGAACTATACGTATATATTTTTTTCAACATTAAAAAAGTAATATTAAATTTATAAATAAATAATATAAAATGCACCTACAATGTTCATCTGTATATGTGCTTTTATGATCGTACAACATTTTTACCTAAGCCAATTAACTTACTATTTTTTGAAATAATACATATATTATTAAAACACTACGTATAGGTGTACGTAGTACATTTCTTCCAACGTTTTCCAGTATTATGTGATTTATTTTTAAATTCCGATTGGATAAAATTATTCTTGATTTTACAAATTGAGTGTTGCTAACTAGTGATCCTGGCCGGTCAAAATTTTTCGACCGGCTAGGCCGATAAAATTTTATCGGCTTAGCCGGCTTAGTCGATTTTTTATTACAGCTGTTCTCATAAATTCTGGGACACTTAAAAATTTATTCGTTTCCCGAAATCTCTTCGGTTTCGTTCTGTGAATTAACTAACTCTTCGGAATCTACGTCACTATCTTCGGAACTTCGGTCCGGAGACAACGATGTAGTTTCCGAAGAGTTAGAAGAGATTTCGGGAAACGAATAAAATTTTAGGTGTCCCAGAATTTATGAATCCTTTGGAGGATTAAGTTCGTTCATTTTCTACATTAGGAATGTCATTATCCTATTAATAAAATCGATCAGCCGATTTTTAAAAAAATCGACCGGCTAAGCCGATTTTTTCACTATCGGCCTGGATCACTAATGGTAAATTTACCACTATCTGCTATCGCTATATGAAGATTTACAATCGTAAATAGACCAATTATATTACAGCAAAACAGCTAATTAGTACAGAAAGAGTAGGTAATAGTAAATTACGAAGTAATAATTTACCTAGTGAATATTTCTAAACTTACAGTAATTTATCAACCCTGAATACAAACAACACTAAATTTACCGTACCAAGAAGGGCAAATACCTTAGTTCACATTTAATACATTTGTTTAAATAAATTAATTGTTTGTTATTAAAGTCATTATCAGAAAAGATGTTTATTGTTATTGTTACGTACAAATTTCCAAACGTGAAAAGCATAAAAAGCATATTAATTTAAATCATAATTGTGATTAATACAATCTTTTTAAATAAAAATTGATATGGAATAAAACGACTATTGACTGTAATTGCATTATATCACGTAATATGAAAGATTTTAAATAAGAAGTTATTTTGAAGTTTCAAGTGGGACAGGCTTGGCATTCCAAATTCTTTCAGCGTACTCTTGAATAGCACGATCACTAATAAAGATGAATAAAGGGAATATGGTTAAAAAGTAAAATCCACAAATATGAAGTATTATATATATTGCTTCGATTATACATACGATGAGAATTTACCCATACGGGCAGAACATATAATACTCTTTCTCGTCCAATCATCTTGATTTTTGTATGCTTCATCAGCTAAGCCTTGTGCACTAAGATATGAACCGAAATCATCCGATATTAAATAGTAATCTTTGCCGGCAGTTAAAGTGCTAATTAGAGGTGCAAATATGCGTGAATCGCCATAATGACCAGATTCTATATCATTAATGACCTCTTGTAGTGCAGGATCCATTGGTACATTGCGATACCTGATATATAATGATTAGTATACGTAAGACGACGTAAATTTTCATAAAATACAATACAATAATTGTTAATTACCTATGAGCGTGCCTCAAGTCTTCGACTTGACTAGCTAAATTTCCAAACATGAAGATGTTATCTTCACCAATTTCTTCGAGAATTTCAATATTTGCACCATCAACAGTTCCAAGAATCAAACCACCGTTCAAAACAAATTTCATATTACTAGTACCAGAAGCTTCAGTACCGGCTGTTGAGATATGTTGTGAAATGTCTGACGCTGGAATAATAATCTCGGCAACAGATACATTATAATCAGGAATGAAAACAACCTAATTAATATAAGAAGATTAATGTTATATACAATAATGTCAAGAAGTATATTATTTGCAGTCATATGAATATTTGCCAACCTTTAAAGTATCCTCAATAGACCTGTCTTTGTTAACGACTTCTGCAACACTATTTATCAGTTTAATGACCAACTTTGCAATATAATAACCTGCGAAAGAAAAATATACATTAGAAAACCTCTTTTTCGAAATTTAATTTGATCAATGAATTTACCTGGAGCTGCTTTTCCACCAAAGATGACAGCACGACTAACAACTTCAGATCTCTCTTTTGATGACATCTTCTTTAAACAATTATATCGATGAATAACACTAAAGTAGTATATTATTAAATTTTGTACCAATGATTTTATAAAACTATATTAAATAAATTTAATACTAAAGAAAACGAACCTCAATATATTCATGAATTGTCTTTTATATTCATGAATTCTCTTTACTTGAATGTCAAACAGGGCATTGGGGTTAATTACAACCCCGGTATGCGTCTCGATGTAATTGGCTAATCGAACCTGAAATAAGTGAAAAGAAATTAATAAAATGCATTCTGAACAATATTATGAGATAATTCAGAATAACAATTTACAAACCTTGTTAGAACGTTTAACGACCATCCATTTTTTTTTGAACTCTTTGTCATCAGCAAACGATTCAAGATTTTTCAACAAATCCAGTTTCTTAAATATTTCAAAAAAAAAATATATATATATATATAAACAAAATTTTATACAGAATATGGACATATTGGTATAAAATATTAGATAAATACCTTTAGCCATTCTCTGGTGCCTAGAGCTTCAGTAATCAAGTCACTTAGTTTGGGGTTGGCTTGATGCAACCATCTTGGAAACGCAAATCAGTAAAAAAATAATAATAATAATTTACAATAATAAACAAAGAAATTATATATAAAATACCTGCGAGGAGTAATTCCATTTGTTATATTACCAAATTTTTCAGGGCCATAAAATGCAACGAAATCTTTGAAAATCTGTTAAATAAATAAAGTTATAAAAAGTCCTTAAGGACGGAAAAAAATATTCAATCAATAATAAATATCATTTACAGTTGTTTTGATCAAGTTTGAATGCAATTCAGCAACACCATTTACATAATGTGAACCTATTAATTAGTATTTTTTGCAAATTAATTATCTCTTCATATATATAAACATTAAACCAAAAGCCATTAATTAAAACATACCAACTATGGCAAGATGCGCCATTCTAAGATTAATTAATTAATTAATTAATTAATATAACTATGATTTTTTTTAAATAATAATAAATAATCCAAATACCAACCTTACGAATTGTGGTGTCGATTCTTCAATTATAGATAATTTTGCCAGAAGGTCCCTCTTGTCAGGATGAGCTTTTTCAACCCTTTGTAAGAAAAACTATAAAAAAAAATATATTATAATTATATACTGTATATATTTATAATAGAAAAGATATACAAAATTAGCTCACCAGATTGATATCGAAAATAATTTGCATATGCCTTGGCAATAAATATTCGACCATTGGGACAGGCCATTTTTCCATTGCTTCAGGAAGGATTGTGTGATTTGTGAATGAAAATGTGCGAGTAACGATGTCCCAAGCATCATCCCAGCCAAGACCCTATAGGTATAAAAGAATGAGGATCTAAACAATACCTAAATAGGATTATGGTAGTAAACTTACTTCGATATCAACCAAAATTCTTTGTAATTCGACAATTGCAAGAGTTGGATGTGTATCTATATAAAAATATTGGCTTAACATGTTCTGAGGAATGCTTAAATAAAATAATTAAGTTGAAAATTTAATTTACCATTTAATTGGATAGCGACCTATCAATCAATAATAAAATAAAATAAAATAAACGTATAAGAAGCTTAAACTTTTATAGCAAATTAGACTTTCATTAAAGATTACCTGATCAGGAAATCTACTCCATGGCTTTTCAGACTTTTTGAAACGACGAACACTATGTGTTTGAATTGAAAATTATTAATATAATATAATAATATTTCATATTATCAAGATGAATTATCAAATGCTTACATGTCGTATAGACTAGCAGCGACCCAAAAGTATTGTTGTTTGAGACGCAATTCTTTACCAACCATATGGTTGTCATTTGGGTATAGAACTGAAGTGATATTTTCTGCTTGCATTTGCTCTTGAACGGCCTGTTCGTATTCACCTTCGTTAAACCGTTTAAGATCAAATCGACGCTTTGGCTTACTACTCCATAGACGGATATTAATGCAATTTCTTGTACCATATCCTATATGACATTATATGATAAAGGAGTTAATTAAGAAATTGTATTGCGAAATTTAAAAATAAATAAATAAATGAAATTAACCAGGAATAGGAACGTCGTAAGCAACAGCTTCTATTATATCATTGCCTTCCCATTTATGTCGCACTCGACCTTCCTCATCAGTATATTTAGTGACCGATCCACCAAATTGGATATCAACAACGATATCAAGACGAGGTAATTCCCATGGATTAACAAAATTTAGCCAGTAATCAGGGAATTCAACTTGATAACCATCTATTAATCTGTAATCGATTATGAAATTGAATTAATTAAAATAGCAGGTTTTTTTTTTTTTCTTTTTTTTTAATGAGAAATAAAGGTCTATCTATACCTTTGTTGAAAGATACCATAGGTATATCTGAGACCGTATCCCCAAGCAGGATAATCCAATGAAGCAATAGAATCCATATAGCAAGCGGCAAGACGACCGAGACCTCCATTACCAAGAGCAGCATCAACTTCTTGATCAAGGAGATCTTCCATTCTGAAACCAAAATCCTTGACACCCTCTACGAAAGGAAATTTATAACACGTATTTTAACAAAAAAAAATAATAATAATAATAAAATTAAATAATAGAATTAATAGTAAATACCTCCGAAATTATCCTTCAACTCCAAATTGAGAAGAGCATTGTCTAATGATCTACCCAACAAAAATTCCAAAGACAGATAGTAAACACGCTTTGGGTCCGCTTCGGTGTGACACTAAAAACATGTAACATACCATTTCATTAGTTATTTTAAACAAACGGATAATTACGCAAAAATTTCAAGACATGACTTTTAATAAAATATATGGAAAATCTGCACACTGTATTTTTACAAATTAAAAATTAGAGAAAAAAGTCAAAAAACGGACCTGCTGGGTGTCATTCCATCGTTTTATTAATGAATCGCGAACACTGTATGTAAGTATTAGTGGATTAATAATATTCATCATCAACAATGGACTAATTATCTCATACATTTCATTATTTTTCAAATAACTTACGTGTTAGCTGTAGCATGATATGCACTAAAGTCATCGATATTATATACAGATCTGGCGAGTGTTGTAGTCACGTGACGAACAAACGACTTTTGAAAAGTTTCCTTGTCTATTAATAATGTATCAAAATTATATTCGTGTTTTAAAGATTATATTGTTATTATAATAGATCAAATACAAACCTTGGTTATCTTCAACGGCAAATTTCTCCCATAATTTCAAAATTTCTCGATCACAACTTGCTCGTTCACTCTTCGTTAGGCCTGTAGGAGTACGTTTATGGAATCTTAGACCAGGTTTAGGAGTAGAGGACGACATTATGTAGGACTTATAAAATCAAGAATACTTAATATAAGACTTCAAAAGTCGAGTATTTTAGAAGGGTAAATTTGGACTCCTTATATGGAAAAATTCTGCCAATCATTATTATTGTAGGGATCTAATCGTACGATAAAAGTTAAAAGTTACGTCACTTAAATTAGCGCTAAAAAAAATTGCATGTGAAGTTTTTTTTATTGTCCGATTGGAAGATTTATGCAATAACATTCATATTTCGAAGTAATCCATGACTACAATACAATTTTTCTAATCTAATATGTAAGTATCTACGTTCTGTCCAGCCAATTAAAATGAATTGACTAAGCTAAAGTTAGTCGAATCATTACAAGCACAATCACATTTGTTATAGTCTTTCCTTCTAATTCTTTAATTGTAAATGAAATACATGTTATCATAGAGTAGTGACATAATATCTATTTATTACAGACTGTTATATAATATATGACAAAATCTATTATTATTATACCGTTAAATCACGGTCTAAAGTACTCTCCCTCTACAAAGAATTCACTTAATGTTATATTCTATATCCTTGTGCTACGATAAATATTAAAAATTTCTGGATTTTCAATATCGATATCGATAGAACGTGATTCCGTTATCTTTATTAAAAGACTTACAGAGATAAAGATCTAAGATTTTAGCTAAATGGAAATATAATAGGCAACACAATAGCGCCAATTTAACTAAATCAATTTTTATTATCGATTTAAATTTTATACGTATAATTAAAAATTATCATAATTACAATAACGATAATATCAATAACTTAAAATAACTTAGGTGGGAACATTTCAAATACATACTGTACGCTAAACGGCATCACTGCAATAATAAGATCATACGATAGACAGTTTGCGTTTTACGACGTATATTAAGAGACCCAATCATAATTTTATATGTAAAAACCGGTTTTTACATATATTCTCTACCTCCCAATATATTGACTAAATCGGGAAAGCTTTTGACATAAAAGAAATTTCTTGGATAGTTACAATAATTAACAAAATGCGATTACTTAATATACTTATATTATTTGCCGTTGCCACGTAGAGATTCTACCTATTACCATCTAAGTCATTTTAAAGATCCGAATTCAACTTATGTTGATTCTGAATCTACTAATGTTCCGAATCTACCAATATTCAGAATTCACCTACGTACAACATATATAAACAACTGTATTTAAAATTTACAAATAAGGATATAATAATAAAAATGAAGCCAATATTTTGAAAATTTAGGATTATTTTTCTTTAAAACTCTGGTACATAATCAATTAAAATTAATTGAAACCAATTAATGACGAAATAATTGCAATAATTTTGCTTTGCAAAAGACGTGGCCTATACTATCATGTGAAAAAGGAGATAGAATTTCGGAGATAAAATAATACTGTATATCGACATGGCTTGACGTCAATTAATTAATTAATTAATTAATTGTGGCTAAAATAATTGCAACGCCTGCAATTAAATGGTTGTGCGAATTGCATATTAAATAAATAAATAAATAAATAAAATTCTTAAAATTTCAATCAGAAAACGAAATAAGAGTGTCGGGATTATAAATAGACATACACTTAAAATAAAAATATAATTTGCAAGTCACTTGTATGTCATTTATTTATTCGAAATCAGGTGTCGAATCATTAATTATGAAACCTCCTATTGAGTGAGACGTTAGTCGAGTCGATTAAAACTTGGTCATGTATTATAGAACTAAGGAAATTAAAATAATAGTGAGTTTCGAAAAAATTTAAGACACGTCGAACTAAGTAATTTTTAGTTTTGCAAAATTTGATCAACTATTTAACTTTCTATGCAAATTTGAAATTTTTTATTTTTTATCGTTATTTTTAAGTTTAGATTTTATACATTTATAATGAAAGTAAAATTAACTATATACAGTCTCTACTTACAAGTTATTTACTAGTTGTTATACCTAAAATCTGCTTCTAATTAAACTTTAGCCATACAGTATTCTATTTTAAAATTTATTTTTAAACTATATAAAATCAAAAAGTAGTAAAGTGTTTCTATTATGATGCAGCTAACCTTGTCCAATAGCAAGTCTTTATTAAATTACATTTCAACTTAGAATAAGTGTTCCTATTATGATGCAGCTAATCTTGTTCAATAGCAAGTCTTTATTAAATTACATTTCAACTTAGAATATAAAAAAATTTTTTTTTAGACTAATTCATATTAGAGTAACATAAATCTTTCCAAAATCGAGATTATTAAAAGATCATATCTAATTTGATACACTAGAATAAATTTTAAATTTTTTCTTTTTTATATCAGATATCTTTAAGACGTTGCTTTTCTGCCTTCAAATGTTCTATTTTCTTTTCTTTTTTTCTATACTTCTTGCTTCTGTACTTTCTTAGCTTTATATGCTATCTATTTTTGAATAGTTTCTTCTTTTTTATATGTTGTTTTTTTGCTGACTATCTTTTCTGTTTTCTTATTTATTTTTCTTAGTTGCTTTGATAATTCTTTATTAATAAAAGCTAGAAGAAGTATATAGTTTTTTTTTTTTTTTTTTTTTTTTTTTTTAGAAGTTAGAATTCAGATTTTTCTTAATCGGATTTTAGATCTTTAATTAGTAAATTAGAATACAAGAGATATTTAAATATTTGTACAAAAAATTTGTACTAGAGTTATTAATTGTTTTAATATTTTCCTTCAAATATTTAATACTTATATTTAATAATCTAATTTTAGATATTAGTTTTTTTTTTTATAGAGTTTGTTTTGATAAGATATATATTAATTAAAAATAATTTTGAAGTTTATAAAGATAATAATTGTAAAGAAAAAAAATTTATAAAGTTAAAGAAAATTAAAAAAGATTGTAAAGGAAAAAAACTTGTTGCTTAAAAACTTATAAAATATAAATATATTTAGTTATTAACAAAGAATCTAGATAGTTAGATCTAATTACACTATGATTAAATAGTTAAATTCTTATAGTTTTAAATAAATTATATATTGCAGTAGATATATAGATTACAATATATAATAGTTTTTTTATTATTATTATTATTAAGATAGCTTATATTACTAAGCAAATTTTATTAGTTTGATATATAAGATCATATATAAATAATCTCTTTACAGTTTGTAATTATATAAAAAGTATATAACAAGCTACATATACAACTTTAGTTATTATCTAATTTAAGTAGTTTATTATACAAGTATTAAACTATCTATTAATATTATACTATGATATTATATATGTAATCTATCTGTGAGTTATCTATTTAAACCTCTATTTAACTAATCTATACTATTACAAACTAATATTACTATAATATCTAACTGTTTAAACTAGCTAGTTTATCACAGATCTATTTATTAACTTTAGCTTAAATTTTCTCAAATTATATTATACTCAACATATTATAAATATCTACAGAGTTAGTTAATCTTGAAATATATCTACTAGTATAGTCTATATCTATTTTATGAATTCATCTAGCTTAAACTTTTACAATATTTATATTATAAAATTATTTATAAAAACTATTAAGTTTTTATAAATTATAAGTTGAAGTATTAAGTAAACTAAATTTTATTTTGAAATTAAAAGAGTTTTTAACAAAAATAATTTAAAATATTTTTATAACTGAATAATAATTAATAGTTATTAAAGATAAATATATTTTTTTAGATCTGGCGATCTTAGTGTAGTGGTTAGGTTGCCAGACCGCCATGCAAGAGGTCTGGGGTTCAAATCCCACTGTCGAC